CCCCTCCTACAACCACGTTAACCAATTTAGCCATCGACCCAAGTAAGTCGCACTTTAACACCCCGTTAACCAATTATATGGTCCGCATCCTCCTCAGTGTTCCCCCGAGGGAAGCTGCGGGCAATTTTTTTGACCAGCCTCGCTCGCACACTTCAGGAATGCTCAGACGGGCTGAACGTTGCAAAAGATTTTCGCTACGTTGACTGTTTTCTTGTAGTGTTTGAAGCTGGTTGTACAAACTAAGAGTGGGCTCTGTGCTGGTGCGTGAACGATTACACCGTCAAAAGCATGTGGACAGTCCATTGTGCACAGCTTGTGGCTCCTGCGAAACACTTGAGCATCTCGTAGTGCACTGTCCCACATTTGCTACGCAGCGGTCTTTGCTGATTAAGGAATATAAATTCCTAAGACTTAAGTGCGCGACTCGAGACGACTACTTCTTTCCGAGTGGTAGTGCTTCCCGACGTGACCAAGCCCACGGAGCTCTCCTTACATTTATGAACCAAACGGATCTGGTCATCCGTTTATAGAAGGTCTCTTTTTTTTCTTTTCTTGTTTTTTCCTTTTTTCTTTTTTTATTAATTTTATTTGTGTTTTTTACCCCTATTCGTCAAAGTCTTCGTCATTTTTCCCTTCCTCTTCTTCTTACCCCTTTCTCCCCTCTAATCTTTATTTCCCCTGTTTCTTCCCTCCCCCCGAAAGAGTAAGCAGGCGTTGTGCCCCTCCAGGTGGCAGTCGCCAGCTTGCTCTCTCCCTCTTTCCTCTGTGTCCTTGTGTATCTGCGTACGCAATACAAATAAATAAACAAATAAATAACTAAACTTAAGCTGGTAGTTCAGCTGTTGGTGTGTCAATGGACAGTATTCTAGACGTTTTTTTGTGCGTGCATGTCGCCTCTTGTTTCAACTCATGAAGTTCCTGATGGGGGAACTATCCGCTGCCTCGATTTGAACCTTACAGTTGATTATGACCATGTTTTTGGCAGTATGCCCCACAGGCCAGTAAGCCTTCGCTATTGTTCGAGTCGCCCCACTCTAAAATTGTAAGAAGAGCAATGGCGAAGGCCTGCTTCAAGCACGTTTTGGGGTAGACATGCTACCACAAGATCCAGGCCAGTTTTAATGTGCAGGTGGAATGCTTCACCAATACTAGATGCAATTGTTGAGTACTTATCACTGTGGCAGAACGTTTGCTCATACAACGAAAAATGAGTCTAGGGTTGCCTGCTCGGGCTCGTTAACATCGGCCGCAAATCAAGAAGGGCGCTGTAATTCATAACATCCATGGTGTGGCCCAAAACCTTAAAAGGATAGCCGGGAGGTGTGACGTTGAGGTTGTTTTTTCTGCCCCGAAGAAACTGGCAAGCCTTTGTAGGGCCATGAACTCAGGAGCTAGAGAGACCATCGCCTGCCCAACTAAGCATCGGAAAAAGTTTATTCCATACGTTCATGGCGTGGTGTATTCTATAACATTGTCTTGTGGTACACTATACATAGCACAAACTGGGCGATATTTGAATGAGTGGTTCAAGGAACACCCTTACAGCGTTTTCTGAACGATGTCTGGCCACCTAGGCATTAATTGCCGAGATTGTGGGTGCGTACCTGATTATAAATTATGTGCCGTTGTCAAGCGTCAACGAGACCAGCTTACCCGTGAAATACTGGAGGCCCTGGATATCGCTAGACTCGGGGATAAATGCGTGAGTAGGTCCTTTGGTTGTCCTCTCAGAAAAGGAATTTTTCTTCTTATCTGGCTGACTGCACGAGCTATGAGAATCGATTTCATAATCTTCATTTTTCATTTTTCTTTGAGTAACACTTGTCTTTCTCTTTTTTCATTCCACTGCATAAGTCTATGTGCGTGGTTTGAAAAATAAAGTTTTTGTTTTAAGTCAGCGCTTTGTCTGTGTCCTTCATCTGGTCTCTAGTTTTTCGCGCCATTTCTCTTTTAACTTATACGAGAGGTTTTGAAGATGGTCAACACGTGATGGCGTCACTCTATAACGTCTACACGAATCAAGAAGTTGCCAAAATACATGACGTCATACGCCACTATCCCGGCACATATAACGGTCATCACCACCTGACGTCATCGCTTCACAGATGTGGGCTGATCTGGGATGCTCTGAGAAACCACATGAAGCGCGGAAAGCTTCAAAGCAATCCGATGGCTGATCCACTGTGAAACGAGTGAGATTGACTTTACTCAATATATCGCGAGGAGGCTGAGTAGGAGTAGTAACGCCCCCTACATCAGCCTGGGGGCTACATGGATGCGGACATCGTCCAAGGAGAACAAGAATGAATATCTATCTATCTATCTATCTATCTATCTATCTATCTATCTATCTATCTATCTATCTATCTATCTATCTATCTATCTATCTATCTGACAGTCTGTCTGTTTATCTATCTATCTATCTATCTATCTATCTATCTATCTATCTATCTATCTATCTATCTATCTATCTATCTATTTATCTATGTATCTATCTATCTATCTAACTGACAGTCTGTCTGTCTGTTTATCTATCTACCTATTTATCTATCTATCTATCCTATTTTGCGTGCTCTCACCGTCACCTCCTCAATTTGGTAGTTGACGCATACCCGCACACTACGACGAGTAGTATTCGGTTATGCGTCATCCATGATTCTCACTCTATCAACCAAGGAACAGTGAAAAGAGTCATCAGAAGCTTTATGACATACCCTGCACACCGGAAAAGAATTGTAGGCCATTTGCCTTGGCTGATGCCTTAATTGTAGCAGGTGAACACAAACGTGTTCAGACAAGCATTACCTAGCAATGAAGAGGTATGCACATTTTCAGCTATAAGGTTTCCTTCTCTGGCTGCAGTGAATATAAGCGAGAGCTCAAGAACACAATGCCGACACAGTGAAGGGAGTGCGCGTAAGCTTTTACTCCCATTCAGCACAAAAGAAGAGAGGGGCTCACCCTCTCGGTCAATTAGACGCATAGATAATAAATATGCCTACAATATACCCCCAAAACATTTCCTTGACATCAGTTGGGGTGGAGCATTGCTAACCTCAATGGGGTTATAATGTCAGCTACGGCTTAGTAACTATATATGTAGTAAACATTTAATATAGGAGAACCGTGTGGATTTTAGCTTATTGTGTGCATATTTATAGTAAAAACATCACGAGAACAATGAAGACAAGGCACATGAATCACCGTTAGTCCTGTATAACTTGTGTCGTCACGTTGTTTTTTTTATACTATGATGAAATGTGTATTACTATGACTTAGCAGGCTCTAAATTAGCGCACATTGTCTCTGAAGGAACACGCCATTGAATGCTGCTCAAACTTCCGTTCGATCAAAAGAGACGACTGTGCTGCAGCGTGAGCGTAATCAACGTTATGTTGGACTGAAAACGCTAGTGTAGTATGCGAGTAGCAAGGTGATATGCACACAAACGCTGCATTTACACGGATGTATTGATAGACTTGGCTCAAAGCCAGAACTTTTGGTCTAGACAGCTGCTCCCCGATTGTTTCACACGAAGTCGGTTCCCGCAATGTGTGACATAAACTGATTTGTTTTAGTTATTGCCTATTACGTTCTTGTCTGTGGGCAATGAAGCGGTGCTTTATTTAGCATCCTAATTGATAAGTATTGAGTATTTTCTTGAATTTGTGAATTTGTGCGTTCGTTGAAGGTTACCTGTCTACATGTACTGTCGCGAGGAACACACGCGCTAGAACTCCAAACTTATCCCAACATTCTGTAGTTGTTTGTCCTGTTAAAAAAATTACAAAAAAACATGCACAGGAAAGGCATGATTTCAAAGTCACAATATGAATGAAAGGAACCCTGGATTGTTACATTCCAGACTAATATTAAAGACGTGGGGTTTCTTTAAGAAGCATCAGAATGTACGTAAACAAATGATTTTTTTTTTGTAAATAACGTCACACTTCACTTTGCAGAAGCTCGGTGGTACTCACACGTAAAACCATTCAGGAGAAGTAATTTGTGCAAAACTTTGTGATGTGCCCTGTTTTATTTTCTTTTTTCACTTTCCAGAAGTACACGTAGGCGTTCAGCAAACGAGTAGCATATAAACGATATCCTAATAGTAGTCGCATCTAAAAAATTGACATCTACATTGACAGCTCCTCCACACTCGATTGCTTAACATGTGGCGCACATGCCAAATACGCAACAAAAAAGCGCATACAATGTCCTCGAAAGCATTTATGTCCTGGGCTTATCCATCCTTTTCACTGCTTCAAGCAGGCTATGAAACCCTTCTTATTTTTTATGTCTATTGATTGTGGGGAGTGCGTGCAACAAATTCTGAAATTCATTTGGGAAGGTAATAAAGACGCAGATATTTAAATGTAAAAAAATGAATTGAAAACTTGTACAAGGCTGGAACGTTTTCCGGACAGCTCAGAAGGTTGTCGAATCGCGGATGATTTCATCGTGGTGATACCTGAAGCACAGGAAGGAGCCACACGAAGTATGGTAAAAAAAACAACGTACAACATTACCAAGCTTGCTTGATTTGATCGCAAGCAAGGAACCAAGTATTCAGGCGGGCAACGTATGCGCTTTCGAGAACACATCTCTCAAGAAATACAATATCCGCTTTTTTCAAATGCCGCTATGTGCCTCAAAAGAAACGCGAACGCTTCGAAATTCGCCTGTCGCGAAGGAGAGCGCCGCAAAACTCGGAAGCAAACAATTATCGCGTCATCGCCTCCCGCCCAGAAGAAGAATAATGGTCCTTTAAGTTGCTTCACGGCCACGAATAGCCACCCACTCCGAGCAACGACCCTTACGGCGGGCCCCATATGGTTGTAGAGGGAGGGGGGGGGGGGTAGCTGTACAATGTCACTTCGCACCTCTGAAGCACCTGCTCCGCCGGAGTACTACCGGTTCGTCGAAGCGGTTAGGAGCGAGGGGTCAAAAGGTGCCGCGCAGGCGCTAGGGCGACCACCACCACCAACGGCGTGACTCACCCGACGCTGTTGGCGCAACCACCACCGCTGTCCGCGCCACTGCGGGCACCGCCTTCGACACCGCGATCCACCAGCAACCGGCCATACAAGCCGCGGCCGCGAGCAGCAGCAGCAGCCAGGGCAGGAGCGCGGCCGGCCAGCCTCCCGTTCGGAAGGTGGAGGGGGCGGCCACCATCGACGGCCACTCATGAGGCGGGCCGACTCCGGCGGCAAGTCCGGGCCGCGGGCGCTGGTTCTGCGGGGGCCTCGGCGGCCGAGACAGCGCTGGTCGCCGGGCGTCGCGGCACGGGACCGGACTCGTCTTCGGCCTGGTCTCGGCGACTCGTCGCCAGCGAGCGCAGCAGCCGAGGCAAGGGCAGGGCGAGCTGCTGCGAGGGGAGCTTCATCTGCCAGTGCATCGACCGAGCCGGGCTCCTCTTTTCTCGCTGAGTATTTTCGGGTCAGGCCGCCTCGCTTCGGATGGCTGCCTGCTTGGCTGGCTGGACGGCTGCGAGGGAAGTCTTCTTTGAAGAGTCCGTGTGTCCAGAGACAGCGGGGAGAGGGTGCACGAACAGAGAAACGTCGCGCGGTTTGCCCAGGGCCCTGAGCAGGCAGCAGCAATTCCCGAGAGGCCGGGCCCGTCATAACCATTAGCGCTGTCGACGGTCGCCCACGGTATCGGAGCAACAGGCGACGCCGGAAACGTGCGCCCGTTGGCCCCGAACGCTTTTCTTGAGTGTTCAATGAGGAAACCCTTTACGGGGCCGCGCGGCGAGAGGGTAGCGGTGCATATCGCGCGCCGCGCTCGTTACGAAGGAAAATTCCGAGCCTGTTCATTCGCGAAATTTCGGCTGCTTGCGTCACCCTTTGCGCCCCCCCTCCTTTCACGCCAAAAGCTCGTTATACGAGAATCTAATTTGCACAGGCATTGCTTCGGGAGTGTCCGGGCGAGGGTCAGTAATATTACCTTCAGTCTTTAGTGAACGTAACAGAACGTGGAAAGGGTGTAGCGGCGCATCTGACAGACCGAATGGGCATAATGAATGAGAGCAAAAACAGCGAGATTGGAAATGAACGATGGAAGCATTACGAACAACGATGACTGACCCAGAGAACAGCGCGAAAGACTAAGACATTACGTGCTTGATTTTCGTCCCACAAAAATATAGTGAAGCGACTTAAAACGAGAAAGCATGCCACAAGCGGCAAACAATTGGCGAATAAAAAAAGTAGTCAGGCGTCCACGGAACGCACAGCAGAGTCACTGTGAAAGCTGGAAGAGTGTCAAAATAACGCCCACAGAATTGCTCTGGTGAATAAATCATGCCATCTCTGCGACTATCAAAATAGCTACTAAACATTTCCGGCAACCAGTTTCATCCACGCAGCCTTATGCATAGTGGGCCTCTCCATATCTTCAGATCTTATTTCCTTGCGTGTTTATTTTCTTACAGCAGTGCTCGAGGTTCGCCGCGTGTTGCAGGTAAAAAATTATCTTCTATATAAATTGGCACGCACTCTCTTGGTCCTCGTCTTTCTTCTCACAACAGGTACTTCTAGAACACGTCACACAGGGGTTTTTTACCCGTGTAACCCGTATATATAGGAAGGCGAGCTAGTAGCCACTTGACATCATGGCACTTTATAATATACTGTAGTGTATTATAGTACACTACAGTACAATTCAGAATATTGTTATGAGACACTGTCCCACTAAGGCAGTTAGATAGGCGCCGAGAAAGACGACGTGATTTTGGTAGAGCCCATTCCGCAGGTGGAATCTCTTAAATGTTTAGGAATAATTTTTAATGCCACCCTAAACTGGACTCCCCACATTGAAAGCATGGTATCTAAAGCACAACGCGCCTTAAGAGTTCTTCGTAGACTGAGTAGCCACCGATATGGTCTACGCAGAAGCACAAGTGTGATGATATGTAAAATGTATATGCGACCAATGCTAGAATTTTGGTGCGTATTGTTCTCAGGTTGTCCTGCTTACAAAATAAAGCCTTTTGTTATGCTTGAACGAGAAGCCATGAGATTATGTCTAGGACTTGCTAGGTTTGTAACAAACAATGTTTTGTATCAGGAATCATGATTACCTACATTGCCTTGCCGTTATTGTATCCTAACAGTTCAGATGTCTCTGAAATGTTATAGCTATGCGCCAAGACGATCTGTATATGCTTATATAAATGACCCAGACACCTTTTTTCTTGCCCATTTGCCACGGTTTCGAACACCTCAGATTGCATTTGTCCAGAAACAACCAGATAGGATAAATGTAAAAATTCGAGATGTGATTGCGGCCCAGGTTACAAATAAAAATCTTGAGATATAATTCGAAGCAATTTTTCCTTCTAAGGCTAAATTAAAATTCTATAGAGTCTTAAATAGCCGACTGCAGGATTATCTTGCACACGCAGAAACGAATAATATTATAACCACAGATGCTTCAGTAATGGATGCAAAGACAGGTGTAGGCATATTCTCCTATTCACTTGACTGGCCTTTATCATTAGGATTTCCAGATTTCATCCCAGTTTTCGAAGCTGAATTGTTGGCAATAGTTCTAGCGCTGCAAAAGCTACCTTTGAATGCGTATAACGTGATCATAATCACGCATTCCCTATCAGTAATACGTCGATTACGGCGTCAACAAAATCGATGGCCTTAAAGACGCTCCTTACGCTAGTCCCTCCTCAGCTGCAGCTACTGAAATTAGTGTGGGTATCTGATCATTGAGGCTTCTCTCAAGCACGAGCAGCATTGGAAGGGCCAGTACTATCAGTCCTTCCCGAAGTGGCCACTATAACTGCGACAAGATACAGAAAACTTTCGCTTCGTGCAGACGCAGTGGAAGCAATGTTGTCAACACGAGAATTTACTTACATAAGAATTCTGTGGAAAATTTATTGGTGTCCTACAAGAAAGATGGGATCCATAGCAACCAGATTTCGATGTTGGGATATCGCCAGGGCTGGTCTGGCGATATCACCGCTATGCAATTTTTGTTCAAAATCAGAAACAATGGAGCACTATTTTGTATCATGTCGATGATACAAATTGCTCACAAAAAGACTTTTAGTCCTCCCATTCGCTAGCCTGGGGCTGAACTTCACAATAGAAAGTATGCTTCCCTTCGGTGCTTCTGATCAGAGCATCAGCCACGAGGACGTTTTCTATGCAGTTTGCAAGAACCTTATTGAAAGGGAAAGAATTAGGCTTTTAATTACGTGATTATTATTCCTGCAAAAATATTCCAACATAAACAGGAACTTTGTTTAACCACGCTAATTCCTATTCAAGGTAATGAATGATTGTCTGATCCGAACGAGTGACACACAACTATTGCACTCCTTTCATTCTGCCTAGGGTGTCTTTTCTTTTTTCTCTAGTGGGTGGATTCGATATTGAATATAAAAAAAATCTTACTGAATTAAGTCAACGATTCTTGGCCGATCCCCTCGAGTGGGTACGAGCCATGGCTGTGGAATCATCATCATCATCATCATCAGTAGGGCACAGCTCTTGTTCTCCATCTTGGCTTGCGCGTTGGCACTGTGTAAATATATCTTCAAACGCTTAGTTTCGCGTGTGCCTTCCCGTAACATTTTGGTGGAAGATGCTTGGTTACAACGCACGACGGAGTTACCGAGTGGATGCCTAGTCGCTGCTTCCAACATGTCAGCTGGCAGTGACACTTCGTCAACTGCCGAGCCCACTGCATCAACGGCGCCGACCTCCTCTGTTTTTCTCGTGGTCGCTCCACCCCGCGATCCCGGCAACTTTTCGGGAACGGAGGACGAGGACATGGATGAGTGGCTTAAACTCTACGAGCTCATCAGCAAAAACCACAGGTGGAACCCAACGTTGATGCTGGCAAACATCATCTTTTATTTGCAAGGAACGGCCCAGGCATGGTTTATAACAATGTAGACGCGATCACGAGCTGGGACGTATGCAAGACCAAGTTAGGCGAGTTGTTTAGTCAATCTGCCGGCTGCAAGCAGGCCGCTAGGAAAGAACTTGACACACGTGTTCAGGCGTCCACGGAGTTCTACCTGGCGTATATACAAGATGTGCGGACCCTTTGCCGTAAAATTGACCGAACCATGGCTGAACCAGACAAGGTAGCACACGTGCTCAAGGGCATTGGCGACGATGCATTTAACCTCTTTGTGTGCAAAGGCTGTACAACCGTGCAATGTGTTATCTTGGAGTGCCAACGCTTTCAAAAAGCTAAAAACCGTGGCATTGCCCATTACTTTACGTGCCTTCCCAACACTGCTGTGACGTCAACTTGCGAGGATCTCCTTATATTGGCCCAGCCCAATTCATACTCCGGTGACATCACGAGAATCGTACACCACGAAATCAAGGCCATATCACCCGCACCCTTGAGAGCACTAGCACCGAGTGGTCCTCGGCCGACCATATCGCTAATACAGACCGTTGTTCACCAAAAACTAGCCAACGCGGGTATTCACACGGTCTGTTTTGTGCACAGTCCTGACGCTGTCAGTTCATGTACCTCCAGCCACCCACAGCATTATCGCCGCCCTGCTCCACGTAACCGTGACCGAAATGCGTGGAGGGCGCCTGATGACAGGCTGATTTGCTTCCGTTGTGAACGAGTGGGACACATTTCCTACCATTGCCGAAGCACGTAGACTTCACCGTATCGGGCAAACTCAAGCTTCTCCAACCTTTACTCACCAGCCCATCTCTATGGCCAGGAACTACTACGGCGTGATGGCTCAGCTAATTACGACCCGACCACTACAACCACTGCCCAGTACAATCGCTGACCTTCACCTCGACGTAGATTTTCCCTGTCTATTCCACCAGCCCGTTCACCACCGCCATTCTCTGCCCGGTGTTTTTCTTCAGAAAAGTAATGGCTGCAGCCCCTGGAGGTGACGCTGCTGATACGACTTGCTCTTCAATTCCTCTGTTGACGTTCCCGACCAATCAGCACCTGATCGACGTTGAAGTGGACGGTTTACCTGTTAAAGCCTTGGTAGACACTGGCGCCCATATTTCTGTGATGATCTTGCACATTCGTAACCGCTTAAATAAAGTCCTTACTCTAGCCCCTTCACGCAGTGTTCGTGTTGCTGATGGTGGTACAGCTTCTGTTATTGGCGTCTGTACTGCACGCGTTACTATCGCCGGCCGTCACACTTCAGTTCT